GTGTGTGTCAAGCACGTCACTTGTCTTTTTAGCCCATGGTTCTTCAGAATGCCATTCAAGGAGATGAACCCAGGAGCTGTTTCCAAGGAGCCTCACCCACACTTAGACCTGATGGACTGTATGTTGACGCCGTAATTATAAAATATGAATACTCAGGGCTCTTGGAAGAGAGGCGTGAGTGTATTTCGCATGTGGGAGAGACGTCACCAAGGCCTGTTCAGTGTCCTGGAGTATTTCCTTTATCTACTTTTCTATATTCCCTCTGTTACTACCTTAGTCCGAGCCCTCATCATTTCTTACCTAGATGACTGCAATGGCCTATTTATTTACAGGAGGTCATGCTTCCAGTTTTTCCCCTTGCTCCAATATATCCTCCAAATTGCTGCAAGAATGATCTTAAAAAAATGAGAATTTCATCATGTTATTGTGTAGCTTAGAACTCTTTGGGGTTTCTCCATTGTCTACTGATAAATGTGAAACTCTTAGCAAGGTAGGCAAAGCCCTCCACGCTCTGTTCTTTGCGTGTCTCTACAGCTGCAGTCCCCAGTCCCCAGGCAGTGGACAGGTACTGGTCCGTGGCCTGTTAGGAACTGGGCCACGGAGCAGGAGGTGAGTGGTGGTGTGAGCCAGCAAAGCTTCATCTGTATTTATAGCTGCTCCCCATCACTCGCATCACCGCCTGAGTTCTGCCTCCTGTCAGATCAGTGGGGGCGTTAGTTGCAGGAAAACAAGTTGCAGTAAAACAAGCTCAGGGTTCCCACTGATTCTGCATTATGGTAAGTTGTGTACATATTTCAACATATTGCAGATCAAAGGAGTTACAATCCAATTTTTGTAGATGTGCTGATTTTCTGCTGAAATTTTACTTTATATTAATTGGAATTCTCTAAAAGATATAAGCCATGACTAAGATGAAAATTGTTTTTCCCAAGTTCTAAATAATTAATAAATCATCCCTAATTGAGACATTGTTTACAATTCAGAAAATTTTTTTAGCAAACACTTAAGCAAGTCTGTTACTTTTATTTCTTCATCTTTAAATGGAAGTCCCAAATACCTGAGAGAGGGGAAGAACTCAGCAGCCAGTCCTGGGAAAGGACACAAATTCCTTACAGTGTAGTGTAGGTTACATTATGAACCCATTTGTTTTGAGAAGTGTTGCATGTTTTCATTATGTTTCGGTAGAGACAACTCTTTACAAAAAGGAAAAACAAAAGTCAACTAGACCAATTGAGCATTGGTGTTCTACTCTTGAAAAAAAGTTAACTAAAAAAGGCTCTGGTTAATTTATGAAACTAAGGATTCAAAGACAATCAGAGATTAGATGATGTAGCAACTTTAATTTCTGTCAATTTTAGAGCACCAAATGTTTAAATTCTTTTTCATATGCAAAATAGTACTTGTTAAGTCTGTTGTTATAAATCTTTCTTGCTGGAAATAAAATGAGCAAGGTAATGAAATGTGAAAAATATCTAAACTCAAGGTCTTTGGGAAACAGTACAACTACCTAATAAAAAGGAATTAAAAATCAACAAACTACTATTGCCAAAGAGAAAATGATTTCGTTAAACAGAATGACAACACCAATATGAATGATGATAAATTCACATAAAATTAAAGAACAAGCTAAGAACAGGGTATATTCCAGCTTTATATGTTGAGGCCATCTTAAAGCTACTGAGTTTTATTCTTGATTTATATGAACTTTAAAGGAGATTATTTGAAAATGTCTGAATTTATGTCTACGTCTATGTTCTTTGGAGGCTAACTGTGACTTACAATTAAAGAAAATAAAATGACTCAAATATGTTGACAGCAATATTTTATAGCACATTTTCATGAGATTCCTTTCAAATCCAAGATCTTGATAACATTTCCATGTATCCATCTGATATTTCCTTATGTACTCGATATTATTCTATTTTGTGTAGCAGTCCTATTAACATTTATTTGTCAAAGATAAGAAGTAGGGCTGATTTTTATGTGTCACCATCAGTGAAGTCAGATGTTTACCCATCCCCTGCGAGTACTAAAATGTGAACAGATTTCTCACATAAAGGTGAAGAAAAGTTAACTTTTAACCCACACAAAAATTTATTCTCTGGAAAATTAAACTGCCATTAAAATCTCTTGGAATAATAATTTTAACATTGTTTACACTGTTTACACAGAGATCCGCAATTTCTTTATGTAATACAATTATACAAAAGGAGAAAGGCACCGAGACAATCGGTGTACAGACAGTGTTAATAGAAAAGCAGATGAGAATAAAATGCAACATAGAGCACATTTTCAATGACATGAAAATGATTAGATATATATATGTGCTCATTCTATAAAATGGACTGCTTCACACACACACACATCTGTTTATATTTTTGACCAAAAATTCAAATTAATATGTGATAATACAACACTGTTGTTAACCACACAGACACTTGTATATATTAATAAGAGCCATTCATGGTTTAGAGTCACTAGCGAATAAGCTGGAAACGATTTCAAACCAAGGGAAATGTTAATCAGCAGTATGTTTCTTCAGGTTGTTTCATAGAGTTTTGCTCACAGAGCATTTAAACTTCATCGCACTGTTAGATCCATTATTAGAAAAATAAGTAAGAAAGCTCTGTAGAAACTATACTATCAAGGAAGCTTCTTGCCTCAAAAAAATGAAAGAAAAAGGAAGGAAGGAAGGAGAAGGGAATATTGAATAAAAAGACTCCGCTAATTGAGTTTTCCATAAAAATTACATTATTTTGAGAAATAAAATATAATGCAAGAGTACTTAGCAGTGATAAACCTCATGAGTTTTAGAAAGAATAAATTTCAACATTTATCAAGACCCTTAAAACTCATATAATATTCTTCCTCAAGACTAATTTAACTGAAAAGCAGTATTTACACACTTTCTTTCTTATTTCAAAACTCAAGTAAAAACCAACCAAAGTTTGGCTGTCTCTTCTAGACAGCTTTAAAGATTCCTCAAAACTGTTGCCACGATATTATTTTCACCACAAAAACAAAAGTCATTTCAACAAAATTATGCAGAAACATAATAAATTAATTTTGTAATACAAGCTACTACTGGAATTTTTCTCTTGGTAAAGTTAAAGTAGTGTTTATAACATCAAAATGATGCTTGGAAGTATCTCTACTAATTTCTAACTGTGCTTCAAATAATTGTTCAAATATACTTAAATAGTAAGAAAGCCAACTAATGTGAAAAAGCTACCCTGATCTCCCCTTGCATGACAAATGTGACATAATTACAGAATATTGTAAGTATTCTTAATATTTATCCAAAAAGATTGCCCAAAACAAAAACAAACACTCTGCCTCCTCCCGCTACTCCACTGCAAAAAACTTATGACTCTAAGGTATTTAGTTCAGTTTTCTATTTTTTGAAATTGCTTGGCTGAAGCAACATGTGAAAATTTAAAAACCAGGTGTTTTTAAAGCCTTCTCACAAAATTTAAAATAATAATAATAAAAAAGAAACGTGCAAGCTAGAAGGGGAAGGGAGAAGACCAAAGGGGGGGAATATGACACAATGATCTAAAATTCCTCACTTCCAAGAAGTTGGCTTCTACTCCATTCTAACTGCAATTACATTTAGGTACTGGAGGTGCCACCCTATATCAAGGTTCTGAGATACTGATCCTTTGCACTGTAGGGGCCTTTTCTCCTGTTGGTGCTCATGCATTACTCTCATTAACATTCATGGGGGTTATGAACAGGCATCCCTAGAGGACCTTCCCCATGAATGGCTGTAAGAGATTCACAGCCACTCACCTTCAACCAGATGTAAACGGCAAAGAGAAACAATAAATCTCAGGGGTAAGGAAAAATTTCTATTTTCTTATTAACCAAAATAGTCATATTTAATATTAATTGCTTAGATTTATGGAAATATATACTCTAGCAATATCTGAATATATGAACAAAGTTTGGAAAATTAGTTTTTCAGTATATCATGGAGTATTAATGGAGTACTATATTTTATCTGTTGGATATTCATTTTAAACACATTGTCAGGTGAGAGATCACATGTAAAAGGAATAAACAGAAAAGTGTTAAGGTTTTCTTTTTAACATACTCTTGAATATTTAAAAGAGAAGCTCACATATCAATCAGTATAAAGTGGGTTTACTGATAATCAGAATGATAAAGAGGGTGAAGAAGGGTCCTAAAATAATAAGACAATTTATGATTCAGACTGTCCAACTGACATTGAAACAATGCCAAATATCCTGCACAACTATTACCACAGCAGTGACTTTGTTCTCATAATTAATTAGACATTTTTATGTTCTAAGAGGTTGAAATTCTACAATAAAATTATGTCAAACTTTTGTTAGATTAATAGTCAATTTCCTTCTCTGCTCCCATCCCATACAACATGATTTTAGGGTACTTCACACTATTGATAAGTATACAACAAAAGAAGTAACTATCACAACAGCAGCAACAAACCTCTTATGATTAAAGAGTATTATGCTTTGTTCCTTCTGTAGTCTCTAAGAAAGCCCATCTGCTCCTACTGTCCAGCCCATGCAATTAAGAGAAAAAAAGTCAGGGTAGCATTTTTTGATGGGTATTATTCAGCTTTGATGAACTAACTCTGGTACCTAGTATAAATGCATATGAATAAGAGCAGAAAAAAGGGCAGGGAGGAAGGAAAAAGAAATATTTTTTAAAAGACACATACTAACAGCGAGAGAAGAGAACAATTGTTTTACATTCATTTTTTTTTTTTGAGACAGAGTCTCACTTTCTTGCCTAGGCTAGAGTGAGTGCCGTGGCGTCAGCCTAGCTCACAGCAACCTCAAACTCCTGGGCTCAAGCGATCCTCCTGCCTCAGCCTTCCGAGTAGCTGGGACTACAGGCATGCGCCACCATGCCCGGCTGATTTTTATATTATATATATTAGTTGGCCAATTAATTTCTTTCTATTTTTATGGTAGAGATGGGGTCTCACTCAGGCTGGTTTTGAACTCCTGACCTTGAGCAATCCGCCCGCCTCGGCCTCCCAGAGTGCTAGGATTACAGGCGTGAGCCACCACGTCCGGCCTACATTCATTTTTGATAATGGACTAATTAATTCCAGTCCATCAAACACTATCATATTAAAATGATATTAACCAGAATTCAAACTATATGACCAGATCAAGCACAGGTGATACACCAGCAGTCACAAAACAGCCTGATTCCATAACAACATTATTTCAAATAAAACCTTGTTTTTCAGTAGGTTGACCACAGATCTGTGGGGAGAAAAGAAAACGTTCAAAATATAAAATATATTCATGTGCAATACTACATCGCAGAAGGAAGTACGGCCACATTTTAAATGAGGGACAACAGGGACTCAGATGCACCTTCTCCAGAGCACTGATTCTGAGAGCAAGAGGGTGTCCTGAGGCTGCCCTATTCACTTGCTGTTTGAAATAAAAGACCTCAAGAAAAAACGAAGCAATCGAGGGGCTAGAGATTAGTGCCAGAGACACCACTGTCCCTAGTGAAGCATCCAGGACCAAAGTCCCTCTGATGCGTGTGATGACAACGAGGCCATTTAGGATGATGACAGAGAGCAGGAAAGCTTCCTATACACAAGACCGCGCAAGTGCCACCGCCTACGGCTGCTCACACATTTGCTGCACGGTCAGTCTTTCTTCATTTAGAATACGGACAGAGAAGTTATTAGATAAATATCTCCTCAGACTCTCTGTTTGCCTTATCATTGTTAAAAAAAAGCTTAGAAGGAAATATTTAAGCAATAATAAAAAAGAATTTTTTAAAATCATAAACCAGCATATTTCATAAAAACCAGCATATTTACTCATTGTACCAAGGAACACTTTGAAAAAATTATGTTGAATGTGAATGTATAGAAACTCATTATTAAATGTTACTTTTTATGTTTTCATTAAACATCTTTCTTTTTGAGGAAGCACAAGAAAAAGATCAATATCTTAATCTTAAACTTTCTCTTATTTGTCACTATCACACTTTAAGGTCTAATCTATGGGCACAGAAACATTGCTATCAATAATTTTATGTAATGAGCTCAATCTTCTATACCAATATATCTTAGACAGCATTCCTGGCGAGCTTAATAAAATAGAGATTCTTGGGCTTCCCTCCAGACCAAATGAAATAGAATTTCTGGAGGTGGAGTTTTGGAATAAAAGTTAAACTCCCCCAAATAATTCTTAAGTACACTTTAGTTTGGAAACCACTATTTTATCTTTTGCCCTTGGAAAGAGCAAGCGTCCAGGAGTTTGATGGGATCTAACCCATCTTAGATAACCAACTCAGGGATTATCTTCTCCAGGATGATTTTTCTGAACTCCATGTTGTACTCTACACATGCCTCTGTCTAATGCTTCATTATGTTAGACCGAAATGACATCTTTCTGTGGCTATCTTCCTTCCTTAGAATGCAAGTTCCATGAGGGCAAAGACTTTCCTTTAACTAATTTATCTCTGCATCTGTATCACTTAGAACAGGACATGGCATATGGCTGGTACTCTTAAAAATATATTAACATATTAAAAGAAGGAATAAATAAATCCATGTATAACACAAGATTCATGAAAAACTGAGACTCATGTAACAGTATGATTGATTTCTTCCATAGGGAATTTAATATTCAATTCAATATTTATTGTCTAGCTACTATGAGAAAAGGGGCACAGAAAGATGACAAGGCATTTACTACTACCTGAGGGGAAAGAGAGACATATGTAACAAAACTAGCTACAATTCTTATCAAATCTTAATAGAAGAAACATAAATAAATTGCAATGAGAAAACAGTGGAAGACAAGAGTTTTTCCTCTCATTTTGAGTAAGATATGGACTAACAGACGCAGACTCTGTCCTTCACAGGGTAGAAAGCAGGTCATATGCAATTAAAATACCTTGGATTCCCAAAAGTGGTCAAGGAGCAGAACAAATTGATTAATATACTTTCGTAAAGTAAGTATTGGCTAAACTGGAAGAGAAAATTAATCCCAAGTCTTTGAAAATCAAAGTCACCTACAAAGTATGACACAAAAGTACCCTTTTATATCAAGAAGAAAAAAATCTCTGATCTTTTCTTCTTTGTCTTTTCTCTTTCCCCAGCTGGTTCTTTACTCCTCAGTTCTGTCATTCAGTTAAGGTGGGTGGGATTACTGATGAATGAAATGTTGCCCTACCTGTTTTTTTTTGTTTTTTGTTTTTTTTGCATCTAGTAAACAGGGATGCACCTGCAATATGCATAGTGTGAGTTTTAGAGTAATTTATGCCCCGGTACCGATCCCACTTCTACTACTTACTTATTGGATGACTTTGGGAAAGTCGGTTAACGTATCTATGCTGCAGTCTCTTCACTGACAAAAGGTTGATAATATTACTTACCTCATAGTATTGTTGTGAAAAATCAAACAAAATAATAAATTATTGTGCTAGATCTTAGTAAATTGTAGCCGTCACCACTATCATTATTCAACACTTTGGGGAGCAAAGATGATGTTTTAAAATTAGCTTTAGAAAATGCTTTGCAGCATGCTTAACCTTGTGCTCAATATTGAGTTTGGTTGGTAATAATGATACTGATGGCTACCTTCCATGCAGGCCACAGATGAATTGGGGACAGTGGATGGACAAGAACTATGAACACTTTTGTTTGAATAATATCAATGTGAAATAATATCATAATAACTACAATAAATCAGTGTGAAAAATCTCAATGGACTGTCTAGTTTATGTAGGCAAATGACAATTTTATGCAATAAATTTGTATCCTTCCTATTCAAATCTGGAGAGGGACCTTGAAAAATGTTTTTAGTGACTGCTGTTCTTACTCCGTCTAAAATTTACACTTTCAATAGCCTACATTTTTGTTCACTGAAAAGACTATGATATCATTCGATCTCCCCACATACCTTAACCTTGAAGAACATCCTCAATTCTCTTATCTCTTCCCCTGTTGGTACTATCTTGCTTTGCAGTCATTGATCATGCTTCTGATTCACTTGGTAAGTAAAATGAAAATAATAATGATTTCAAGCAAATGATTTAGCATACAGCCCCTGGCACTAGATTAGATGAAGCTGCTCTACCTGGCCCTACATTTAAGCATGTGTATAGTAATCAGAATGGTTTAGATATTTTCTCATTGGTTTTTCTTTTTTTAAATTGTGGTCCAATTTATTATTTTTGTCAGCAAATACAGCATTATTGAGAATTCACCGAATGCACAGCAAGACAATATGCAAACAGATTTCAAACAAAATGTGGTTAGTACTGAAGACACAAGATTACAGAAGAAAGCTTCTGAAAGGTAAGATGATATTATACTAAGCAAATTCTTTACTGACTTGACATACATTTTCTTTCCTGGGCAGCAATAACTATATCCTGCAGCTAATTCGGGAGATAAATAAAGCCTATAATTCCAGACTCACGGGCTCCCATAAATGCCAGTCAATTGTCATATTTGGACTATCTCATTTTATTATAAAATTTAGAAGATTTTAACAGAACAATAAGAAAGTGGGTTGTCATTCTCAAGTTTCTGAGCCAGCACCTGCTGCCCACCCGTGGGCCCCTATTTGCTATAATTACTGAGATATAAAGATTTTGCCTTTAAGCTTTCATGCAAATTCAGGCACACAAAAAACCAGTAGTATTGTCTTCTTGTACATTAGATTCTGAGAGTGAAGTGGGTCTCTTGAGCCCTATTTAATCCTTTTCTAAAAGAACAGACAATTTTGGGGAAGTAATTACTCTAAGTTGTGTCACTCTACAGGAAAAAAGGTGTATATTTTGCTATGTGTGGAGGAGACTGGCAGCAGATAGCACCCAAAACCAAATATAATATCTTGTAAATATATAAAGGAGAAAAATAATTCATAAACTTGAGAAATATTTTTCTATTCAGTAACTGAAAAAGCCAGGGCAGCTTCACCTTTACAAATAAATATACACATACGTAAACATATACATGTATATGCTGTGTGTACAGGTGTTTATACAGACATACACACCAATACAGATAATTTTTAATCTTTGAGGACTTGGCAGCTGGGGTGGAGGTAGGGTCTTTCCTGAAATTTTTAGAAACTGATGATTAATTTTTAGGCCATGAAGGATTTGATACTTATACCAGATAGACCCCTAAGGATATATCAAATCACACAATTCTGGGCATAGTCTGAAAAAAGGTAGATTTAACAAATAACAATTAGTTAGGTCTTTTTCTCACTAAATGTGAAAGCACCAAGCTGGTCTTATTAATGTGTTTGATTAAACTCTGTTATAGCTACAAATGAGACTGATAACTCTTTTTATTAGGAAGATACCAGTTGTTAGCAATGCAGTCAGTTGTTTCAAAGCCAAAAAAGGTAATTGTAGCATCAAATGCCTAAGTCCAATTTCTCAGTAAAATCTACATCCTCCCTTCAAATCTTTTTCCATACTATTGTTGAAAATACTTAAATGAGATATTTTGCCACTTGATTCATGTTCTAACTCTTAATCTAACTCATTTATTTAAATAAACCCTGGGAAAAGCTTATTGATGTAACAACAAAAGGATATATTTTTCCCTTTAATGTAACTCTATAATATACATTCTCAAACCTCATGTCACCCAAGATAGCGTTTGTATTTTTTCTTATAATTCATGTATATGAATACATAGAGCTGCCACCTTTTAAACTAAAAAACACAGGTCTTTTTGGATTTCTTTTAAGGCCTTTCACTACAGCCAAGCTGAAGTAATAATATCTATGCATGGTTTTGTTATTATGGTAATAACAAGTTCTAGTTTACAATAATATATAGTACTCAGTTGGGACTAGGAACAATGATATACTGCATTTTAGGAATTGGTAAATAGTATGTTTTTGTCTAGTTTAACTAGAAATGAGAAAGAAAAAATATTTTCCATATATACAAAACATAGTCTATTTAATAAGTAGATGCATAAAATTAATTATATATTAGGTAAGAAGCAAAATTAAAAAGAAAACAGCTTATAATATTCCTGATTAGAGTTCCTAAATATAAAAACAACAAATGAAAGTGCCTTGCCATTTTAAAAAATTAGTACATTATACAACTTTTACATACTTCAGAGGAAATAAAGATCTTGTGACACTGTTCTGAGGAATCTTTACATTTATAAAAATCGAAGGCCTAATTTTGCAAATACAACTTTCGAGCTGTATGAGCAAATTTAACTTACATGAAAGGCACAAGATGACATCACGTTGAAGAACGTTATCTGTAAATTTCATAAAATCTAGTCACAAGTCACTAGAAACTTCGTAAGGAATTTCAGAACTGTTTTTAACATGATGTTCTGATTCAAACTGAGCACTGGATAGTCTTTATATCACAAATATAAATTGAAGTAAGAGTGAAGATTTAGAGAGAGAACAGTTTCTTATTTTGAATGCTATCTGCTTTATGCAGTGTTGGTTACTAAATATTCAGAGCAGATAGTTAAAATTTTCTTTAACTTGAATTGTTTTCAATTTTCAACAGCTTATCTGTGTTTTCAGTTTGTAAAAAATGTACTTTCACATTACTGTAATTTTAAAGAGTTGATCACTGAAAGAAATTTTAAAGTAAAGTCCTGCTCTATTAGCTTCCTACATTGGAATACAAGAATACAGGAAGTGCTTTCAACAGAAAGTTACATAGTTCTACAGTACAACCTGTCTAAAAGACTTGCAAGGGACCAGTGCAGTGACTTGGTCTCTTTGGATCAGGCAAAAGCAGAGGCAAATGAAGAAATGAACATGTTAAAAAATAACATATTTTTAAAATTCCTGTATGAAAATGAATACTTGTTTGCACTTAGATTTAGTGCTACTGAGAAGAACTGAGGCACGATGAAACTAAGTGCACAAAGGGAACATATTTGAAATAAAACAATTTTCAATCTGACCGAAACCTTCACCAGTACATATGACTTGGAGAACTAAGACCAGTTGGTTGGAGAACTACTTTTTCATATTAAAGAACATTATAAACACCAGGGACTGGCCAGTCAAAATGTTTTATAAATAGTATGCAGGGTGATACTAAAAGAGTGTTGCAACTAAACTTCTGATCTTTAAAATCACTTCTAATTTTGATTTTGTATGAAATTACTGGCTCTTTTGCTAAATTAAAATTAACTTCAAATCAAAAACATGTTATTGAATCTCTGGAGGATTGTTAGTTTAACAATGATGATGCAAGCTTTTTGGCTTCCCAAACAAGCTCTACCAGAGACATATCTCTTCTTCATTTATGTCAGTATTAGCTGTTCTTTCCACAAAATTGAAAGCATGTTGGTAGAATGTTGAATATGATTCTTCAAAGAATAGCTCTTCTAACGGTGACTAGGTAAAAACAGTAATGTTGCAATCAGAAATATGCTGCCTTGGAGCACAGCCGCTTGCTTATCCTATCCATCAGGACTCTAGTAAGGCATGCCATCTACACACTTGCTGTCCTTTTGACTCTTTCATTTCAGTCCAGTGATTGAGTTCTTCTTCTCCAGAGCTGTTCAGACCTAAAGAAATCCAGCCTATCATCTCTTTTCTTTTCATGCTGCGTTTGTTATACACAGACAGTATGAGTGTCACATCAGAAAGTTGAAATAGGGCCACTTGAAAAACAAAAGTTTCCTTGTATACTGGATTTGGCTGCCCTCTGCGGATGGATGTCTTGCATTTGGACATCTCTTGACCCATGGAATTCAGTAGAGTTAACTTAACATATGTATCTAAGGAAAAAAACAGCAACATACCACCAATATCATTTGAAACAAACTCAAAGCAATTTGCTTAAAATATAGGCTAAGAAGATTAAGTATTATACTTTATAAGGATATGGTGTATACCATGCTTAATAGAAATTCAACCAATTCCATTTTGATGTAGATGTTTATAATAATGTGACAAATGCAGAGAATGCTAAGAAGGCCGAAAAAAAAGTTTTTTGGGGGTGATAGTATCTCAACCTCACTATTTCTACATAATAATTAGAATTTAAAGGTATACCTCATAATCCTTCCCCCACCCTCTCTCCCCATCCTTGACCTCCCACTACCCCCCTGCCCGTCATCCCCATTTAGCTTCACTAAGCAGGACGTCATAGCATTAATAGACACTTAGCAAGCTCAATTAGCCACAACACTGTAAAGCATTCCACTGTGTTTTCAGAGAATAAGAATAAACAAACAAATAGAAATGAAGGCAAATGGCGAAGAGGAAAAGAAGACAGGAATGCAAAGATGACATCAAAACAGCTTAGGATGAAATGTCAAAAAAATCTCTGCATGGATGTGGTTTTTAAACATACTTTAAAAACACTGAAGGGCCAAAATGAAGCCAAATGCATTAAGAGTTCAAAGTTTAGCAAATGAAGTAAAACTTTCTCCTGGTTTCATGCAAGAATACATTTAATGTGCTTTTGGGGTAGTTAAAATACTATTGGATTGCTTTTTGGCACAATTTAATGTGAAATTTTAAGTATGATATCTTAACTATTTTCACAAATTATAAAAAAAATTGATGTGATGTTTAGTGTACAAAGTGAAACATGACCCGTTCATTGCCTGTTATTTGGGAGATAAATCCTCTCTTTAGAAGATTGTGTTTTCAAGTTCTTTAGACTCATGCAAATGATCTTCAGCATGTTGATCCATCATGTGTACTTCATATCAAAATTTCAATTAGTTTAAAGTAAATTGCAGTATTGCTCATGAAATATTTATTTCTATTGTATGAATCAAAGTACAAATGAATGAACAAATAAAAACTTTTTAAAAGTTTTACTTATTTTAGAGATACTCTGAATACCATCATCCATAATCAGAGATAAATTCTAAGTTAGTTTTATTTAAAGTACCACAGATAATAAATGTGCATTGTTTTGGAAACCAACATGGTGGACAGCTTCACTGCTGGCAAGTTTTAGGGTATTTTGGTTTTGCATGAAAAGACAACATCCAATTAGCCTCTATAGGAACTCACCTCGGATTATATAAACCTGTCCACCTATCAAGTGTTTTAGACAACAGAACAGTCCATCTGACAACAGGGGGTGGAAAGCAGTAAAAGAAATAATGACCAGATGTCAATCGTTGGGTGAAAGAGGGTCAAAGGTTAGAATTAAAGAGGAAACACTGTTCACTGGAGTGGAAGAACACAAAACTTTAGCATTTTAATTCAGGTAGAGGGTTGAACAAAAGGGTTGTTGGGTAAATTTCATGAAACGAGAATTTTTAAGGTCATTGTGTAATCTTAAACAAAAATTACACTGTTTTAAAGGGGGACATCTTTTGATGATATCCTCTTGGTCTAAAGCACATTGAACATAAAATCATGCAGATTATCAGACTATAAAAGACTGAATAAAAGTCATTATAAGGATCATTATTATGCTAAATTTTAAGTTTAACATAGTTTTATTACTCCTAATCTGATATAAAATTAAGTTTTACAAAATAAAACAGAAGTATCAAAATTTTTGTTCTTGAGTGTTGCTACTATGTTTGGATAAAATTGGGATTATTCAGTCTGTAACATAGTTCAAAGCCTAGAACCTCAGTAAATATGAGGGGCTACAATATTATATATAATATATATACTTTAGGACAAACTGATAAAACTATCTTACATTTTACTTTATAAATATTCTAGTTTCAAATAACATTATTTTTAATGTTGACTTATATTTACTTATAATTACATCCCAACTAACACCATTAATCATCCTTACACTGAAGATCTAATTCTAAAACAATGACAATTGCTATAACCTACTCTTTAACCTGAAAGATCAACTCTCTGCTGTGGATGTTAATAGGTTATTCTAACCTATTATCTGACTCTGTCCCTGGTACCCCTTCATTTTAGTTGTGACTTGTATTTTTCTGTTTCTATCAGAGTGGCTACAGTAAGGATAGAAAGATAAACATTTCATTCTGTTTTTTAGCATCTTCAGTTAAATATTTGTTAAAAAATTTATTAAACTATTAACTAAAGCATGAGTGGCAAACTGATAGCTTTGGGCTCAACGTGACCTAAATGATGTTTTGTTTATCTGGCATGGGGCTCATACATTTGTGAATCAGAATGTCTCAGGGCAGATGTGCACTCTTGGGTTTGTCACAGCCCTAACATGCGCTCCCTATCTTTCATCTACAAATTTTACTTATTTAAGTTCTCAAATTGCAGGCCATTTGAGTTTGCATTCTAAGTGTGTATTAATGAAGATGATCAAGTCACACTTCCAAGTCTGTTTATTCTAGTAATTGCTTCTTTCCTCCCACTGAATTTTTCCTTCTGAAATGAGAAAGTGGACAATAGTAATTCCATCCTTCTTTTATGCACCTTAATCTGATTGGAGTCTCACAATTACCCTGTGAGAGATATTACCTTAATTTTACCTATGAAGAAACAGACTTAGGGGAGGGAGGTCATTTGTCCAAGGGTAGAAATACGAATATATTATAATTTAAACTTTCAGACTTTTAATTTTGGGATAGCTATATTCTACAATATATGTAAGAAAAAGCTTTCCAATATTACTAGGGGCAAGCCAAATATGTTTTTATGACTTTTTACCTCCACTGAATAAAGAATTTTTATGGCATTTAGAAGTAAAGTTGATTTAATTCAAGTTTTCCCTCCTTTAATAATTACTTGCTACTTGGAATAAAAGACTGCATTAAGCAAGTCTGCAAGAAATCTTTAAACAAATTTAAGGTGGCATCACTATTCAAGATTTTTTTTTCAAATTTTTAGTATAGGGCATTAACAGCTTTAAGTTTAGATATATATAAAGAAGCTGCTACTTTCCCAGTTTGCTTCTAATAGATATTAACAGTTTTAGAGGTACACTGGGTAACAATTTCTCTGTACTCCCCTAACCTACCATCCTCTCCTGAATTAAGAGAGAGATGACAGAGGAGTGAGAGGCATATTCAGGACAGAGGTCTGCCATCTAGCTTTCCCTTCCTAGCAACCAAGGTAGATAGAAAACTATCCCTTATCTCTTTGTCCTGGTAACAGCAAAGCCCATTTTATTAATATTAAAGAGAAGGCTCTGCTGGCAGTATTGGGTTATAATTTCAAAGGAAAAAAATGTGAAGTAACAGTTTCTTCTTAAATTGTTAAGGGAGAAAAAGAAGGGATAATATAGAAGTAAATATAATAGTTCATAGTGTTGCATGCATAGAGAAAACATAGCATTAATCTTCAGTTAACAACAATAGCTATACACATTCCTGTTCACATTTGCGAATACTATTCACTTTTTTTAAACCCTGTAACTTTTTCTGGCATTAAAAGATAATGGCTATGATAGGGATAATTTATTCTGCAGACACTATGAAAATTTAAAAGTTCTGTCACCTTATAATTAATATTTTGAATTTCAAATTTTTCTACTTCCCAAAAGACTGGAAATAGAAAACATGAAACAGATTAGCTGATGATTACACCATTTCATTTTGATTGGTTAAGACTAAATGATAGGATTGAAGCCCCCTAATGCTGAGAGTCCCATAAGTGCAGAAAACATTAGAATTAAAAAAAATTTTTTTCACTCACTGGGTGGTCTGTTTGCTGCCAAGTTTTTGAAGTGGCTGCCTTTTATCACTTCTGCTGATAGTCTTCCAGTTGTGGCATTATAAAGCAGGCCAATGAGAATTTCTGGAACTGAGCCGTGTTCAAGAGACTGACACGAGGATGTACTTTCACTACAGGATACTTCTGACATGCTCATTTGGGAGTCACAGCCCTGTAATAAAAAATGAAATTTTTATAGTATTTTGCAAAAGAAATATATTAAGAGATATGTTGTTTATGACATGTTTTATTGGAATTAGGAAGGTAAATCACAATACAGATAAGAGTTGCAAACCAAACTACCCAAATACCAGATGAGAATTACTATCTTCAGTGTATTTTAGTCCCTGGATCTCTCTTCATTATACAGGAGTCAAGGAAGTAATAGGACATTAGAAGATTTCACAAATCTCTCCATATTTATATATAAATCAGAGAAGATAAATTTCTTACTTAAACTTATAGATTTTAATAAACTATTTTCTGAAAGTAAAAAATTGCTGTTTAAAAACTTATCAACCTCAAAAGACTGGGAAAGATTTAGACTTAACTATGTCTTTAAAGACAAAGATTAGCAAACTTTGATTAAATAAACAAAACAAAACTATCTGCTACTTATAAGCTGACATCTAAAGCCCAGAGATACAGAAAAGTTAAAAAGTATAAAAAAATTTATCATGCAAATAATAACAAAAAGAAAACTGATGTAGGTATTAATATATTAGTATCAATCAGGGTTGGCTTTAAGGCAGCAACTATGATTAGTGATGAAGTAGTATTCTTAAATAATGATAAAACATTCAAATTACTAAGAAGGAAAATAATTCCAAATTTTCATGCATTTAATAATATGGACTCAATACATAGGAAGCAAAAATTGCCAGAACTACAAAGAGAAATAGAGAAACCTGTAATCAGTGGGGATGTTAGCACACTTCTCTCAGTAACTGACCAAATTGGCAGACAAATAAATACAGTAAGGATGCAGCAGATTTGAATATCACAACAAACAAAACTGCCTAATGGTCATATGTAGAACATTATACTCAACAACTAAAGAATATACATTTTCCCAAGGATATAGAATTTTTACAAAAATAAAGTGAATAATAATTTCAAATGATGAAAACTATTCATAATTTTTTTGATTGACAAAATCCAAATTCTTTTCTAGAGGAGAATAAAATCCTTTTATTTTTGGAAATTAAATATACACTTCTAAATAACCCATAGTTAACCAAATAATAATAAAAATAAGTGATTGGAAAAGACAAATGAAAGTGGATAAACTCCTGGAGAATCCAATTTAAAAAAAAAGAAAGAAGGCAATAATACTTATCAAGAATGAAAAAGGAGCTATCACTACATTTTCTACAGATCATGAAAAGATAACAGTATAAGCAACTTTCTTTAACAAAACTGAAATTTGGATGAAATGAACATATCCCTTAAAAACTATCACTAATCAAAAGAGAAAGAAGAGAGGAGAAATAGATTATTTAAACAGTCAATAAGGCAATTGAATTTGTAATTAAAAACTTTTCCGAAACAAACACACATAAAACAAAACAAAAATAAAAAACTTTAAGCCCAGATGGCTTCATTAGTGAACTCTAATTAATACTGCTAGTCTTACACAAACTCTTCCAGATAATAGAGGAAACACTCCTCAACTTCCTTTAAGAATCTAGCAAAATATTGAAACCAAGCTAACAAGAACATTATAAAAAAGAAAAATTACAAAATTTTCTCATTCATAAACCTGGATTCAAAAACCTTAAATATACGATTCACAAAACAAATCCAGCAACATTCAATATCATACTTAATAGGAAAAAAATTTAATGCTTCCCCTTTGAAACTGCCAACTATTAACACTTTTAGTCAACACTGTAGTGAAGACACTAGTCAGTGAAGGTCCTAGCCTTACTAAAGTAAAAAACAAAAAGCATAATGATTTGGAAGAGGAATAGATAAAAAAAGTCTTTATGTGCAGATTGCATAATTATGTACACAGAAAATAAAAACAAATCTACAGATGAACCTTATTTGCATATAAAGATAAAATTAAAAAACCCATATATTACTATATATCAGCAATAAATCTGAATATAAAATGTATTAAGATAGTATTTGTTATAGCATCAAAACATAAAATATCTAGGAATAAATATAGCAATTGATATGGAAGACTTCTATAGAGAAAACTATGAACATTACTGAGATAAACTGAAAAGTGCTATATAAATAAAATATGTTAACATATTAGAAAGCTCAATCTTGTAACAGTCTCTCCAAATTGATCTACAGATTAAACACAATTCCATAAAAATCTCAATAGGTTTCTTTGCATTTGTTCAACTTCATCAGCAATCAGGGAAATATAAATTAAAAGCATGAGATAACACTACACAATAAACAGATGGGGTAAAAGAATACCAAGTGTGGTGAGGACCAGGAAATGGGAATGCTCATATTTCTCTGGTGGAAGTGTAAAGTGTAAAGTTTAAACACTTTTTAAAATGTTAAAAATATAAATATCTTATGATCTGGCAATTCTGCTCCTGCATATATACCCATCAGAAATATGTGCAATGTTTACCAAGAGACATAAGAAAGAATATCCACAGCAGCATTATTCATGTTGGACTCAAACAAGAGAATGGAGACATAATTTGTGCTGAGTTCATGCAATGGTATGCTTCAAACACTGAAAACCAATTATAACTGTATATATAAACATGATTTTGAGTGAAAAATACTGGACCCAAAAGGATACCTAGCTGCATAATTCCATTTATGTAAAATAAAAACAAAAAAACACAAACAAACAAAAACTCAAACCAGGCAAAACTAAACCTAAATCATAGTGTTCCAGATGGATGAATAGGTGGCAAAGTTATCAAGAAAAGCAAGTAATTAACATAAAATGAAAATTGTGGTTAACTCTGGGGGTGGAGAGAAGGAATAGTGATTGGCAAGGGCACAGTGAGGGTTTCCTGGGGGTACTGCCAGTGTTTTACTTCCTGACCTGAATAGTAGTTACATGGGTTATGCTTTGTGATAAATGAGTTGTACGTTTCTGGTTTTTATACTTTTCTAATGTGTGTTGGGTTTCACAAGAAAAAAGATTTCAGAAAAGAATTATGTAATGATCTATCATCTATGATGGATGCCTCTGGGTAAAGAAAAAAGAATTATACGATACAAGGACACAGTGTACACAAATTAATATACAATGATAAAAACAAATATGTAGGACTTTCTTTGAAGATTTCCAAACAGATTCACTCTATGAGTTAAAGACAAAAGAAAAAAAAAAAAGACTATAACATTATTACTTCTAATAATGTGATTTAAAATTTTTTTTTTTTTTTTTGAGACAGAGTCTCGCTTTCTTGCCTAGGCTAGAGTGAGTGCCGTGGCGTCAGCCTAGCTCACAGCACAAGCGATCCTCCTGCCTCAGCCTCCCGAGTAGCTGGGACTACAGGCACAAGCCACCATGCCTGGCTGATTTTTATATTATATATATTAGTTGGCCAATTAATTTCTTTCTATTTTTATGGTAGAGACGGGGTCTCGCTCAGGCTGGTTTTGAACTCCTGACCTTGAGCAATCCGCCCGCCTCGGCCTCCCAGAGTGCTGGGATTACAGGCGTGAGCCACCGCGCCCGGCCAATTTAAAAATTTTTAAATGTTTTATACAAAGCTTCAAATTTAAATCTACTACTGGCTGTATCAGTAAGGAAGGAGAATTAAAACATACCTTGGAACTGAATTAACTCATTGGACTAATATTCAGAAGGATAAAATCTCATATTTTCAATTTATAACTCTAAACGACAGAGTGAAAGCCAAAAGGAACACACATATTATTCGATCATGGGTACACAAAACACATAGTTGGGTATGTTTTCATGACAGTTGGAGAAGAAAACATAATTTTAGTAAGTTTCAATTAGGATATATCATCACTTATGAAAATAGTGTCAAAAACATGCTTGAGCACATTTGGTGCATTTGTTACATTAGGCTATTATACTAGCAGCATCTGTTAGAATACTGTGAAATACATTTTTCATAATATAGCACTTTTCACATGAACCTACAGTCGGATAATAAGATGTGAACCTAATGGTTGCTTATCAACACAGTGGCCATGCTGCCACTTTTGAGAAACAAAGTGATGCCCAAAGAAAGTGGTAAGAAAGGCCTTTCTCACTCGTTAAGGAAAACACTCCCTATACTTTACTGCTGTGGAAATTCTCATGTCTAAGCCCAAGAAAAAAGCAAGAACATTAAGATCCTTGTTGATCACATTCTATTTTAGTAAGCCCTGCTGAAATACTGTAGTGTTTAAATAACAGAAAAAACTATTCTCTAAAAAGAGTTCATACTGAATGTATACCTTAGGAAAAGTGCTAATCTCATGGCCTGTCCACTGGCATTAGCGTAACTGCCCATTTAATGCTGGTAGAGTTGTGGGAGTCCAAGGAGATCACTTGGCACAACAAGCACAGTATAGAATAACGATGTAAACAGAATAACTGCAGTAAAATAAAATTAAGTACAGACACTGTATGCGTTAGTGGCATCTTTCCTTAGACTGTTCCTCAGGGCATGGTGCTCCGTTCAGTATATATTCAAGAATTTCTACCATCTACCATATTCTCCTTCTGCAGACCCCATCACTAATTTATAACTGGGGCTTGCCTAGGTGGCTGTAACTGCAGGTGATTAACCCAAAGTCAAACAAATTCCAATCATAACTAGGTGTACTGAAAGGAATAGTCCTACAGGCTGCTCCCCAAAGCAAAACTTCCTCCCATCTTGCATAGTATTTTATTTATTTGTAATACTTCTCCTCCTTCCCCATGAGTCTTATGCCCTAGGGTGAAGGATTATAAGTAATTCTGTAAGAGTAGAGAAAATCTAATTTTTCAGAGAAATGAATAAACCCTATGTGTTTACCATAACCAGAATTAGTGCTTAAGGCAGCCATTGCATTTCCTTAATGGTGTTAATAGGTTAAAATTAGGTGGGAACCTGTAAATATATATAGAAAAGCCATACAATTAAAAATGCAACAGAATTCCTATTGGGTAAACATATTGGAATTTTTATTAATATTGAATTTATTCCAGCTCACTTGTAACTACTTATACTCAACATT